ATCACTATAATTGAGAAACTGATCAGGGAAGGCATCTCTGAGATGATACCTGGGCAGAGACTGAGAAAAATAAAGGATCATGACAGGCAAATATCTATAAGAGTATTTCAGGCAGAAAAAGCATGAACTTTTGTCAATGGAAGTTGTCTAAACAGGCACTAACTTGAAACGCAGTAATTTGGTACTATCAAAAATTCTAAATCTGCATATTTTTCAACTAAGCTACAGTTATTCCACTTTTAGGAATGGAATGCTAGAAAATCCTAGCTACAAAAATCCACATAGTGATGTTCATACAAGATAAGCCCAGGGGCATCTGGGTGGCTTAGTTGGTTAAGTATCTGACTCTTGATTTCGGCTCAGGTCATGATCTCATGGTTCATGAGATCAAGACTTGCATCTTGCTTGGGATTCTCTTTCTCCGTCTCTGTTCCCTGCTTATACTCTCTCTCTCTCTCAAAATAAACATTAAAAAAAATCCAAGGATGCTCATTCTAACAGTTCAATAGAAAAAAAACTAAAAACAACCAAAATACTTATGAGCAAGAATCTTGATAAATTTGGGTACATCAAGACAATGGAAAAAGCCATGCTGCTTTTAAAAGGAATGAGACTGTGTATTGAAAAAGTATATATATGAAGCAAGTTGCAAAATAGTATGCATCATATAACCCATTTTTTTAAGAGAAAAAAATTATAATGTAGCCTTACTATACACATATATAAATATACACACCATCCTTCCCAACAAGTGCATATATACTATGTACAGTGACTTTTCCCCACCATAAATTACCTCTTCTGGCAGAGAAGAATGGGGTTTGTCAGAAGTTGCAAGTAGTAAAACTGGAGCAAATGAGGGAATGTTCTGTAACAATGTAGTAAATGTGGCTTTCAGTGTTGGTCCAACTATTTCCCACCACAAGTGGATATGAGGAACATATACTATACTTGGTGCTGTTCTCTTAGCTTCACGAATCATCTAGTAGAGAAGAAAAAAATTATATTCAGTTAAGAGTTAGTATGTTAGGAATGTTCACTTATTATTAGTCTGGAACAGTGTTTAACTTCCCAGAATTATCATATAAAACCTTCAAGTTTTTAAAATGCTTTCCCCATTCTCAATTCTTACTTTTAAATGTTTTGTAAAAGTCTTGTTTTTAGTAAAAGGGGAAAGATTTATGTGATATGAAGAGAAACCAGAGTATTAAAAGTCTTGTTTTTAGGAAAACATAGGTGCTTCAAGCAATTAGAAAGAAAACAGCTTAATACATCTAGAAGATATCTGTTGAATGCAAAAACACAAAAATTTTACATTTGAAAAAATTTTAATACAAAGATAGCAAAAACAGATGCAGCAGAACATCTGAGTGCTTACCATGCAGCAGTCACTGTTTTAAATATTCTACCCCTTTAATCCTCACAGCAGCCATACAAGGTAAGTACTATTATTATCTCCATTTTGCAAACAGGGAAACCAAGGCAGAGATCTAATAACTTCCCTAAGGTCACACAGATTTAATGGTGGAAAATGTGTTTTAAACCCACACTCTTTAATGACTAAGCAATTACATTTAGTTCTATTTCATAAACCTGGAGGTAGAAATCAGAAAGACAAAAAAACAGTTCAAAAAGGAAAAGTAATTCTAGACGGTGCTTCTAGAAGACTGCTTCTCTTACAGCTTACTTTTCTGGGCAACAATGAATTAATTACCTGGGCACATGTTTCTTCAGGAGATGTAGCACTGACTCCAAAAAGAACAGGAATGTCTAAGGTATACACTGCAAATTTTTCCAAAGCGTGGATGACAGCTGGTGCCAAATGAGAACCTTGCCCAAATCCTGGTTCTCCCACTATCAATATTCTTGGTCGAAAAGACATAGGTTGATAACATGCATTTCTGAAAGAAATTAGCTGTATTTTAGAAAAAGCAAAAGTTAAAATTTTCCTCCTAAAATACCAATTTTCAACTTTCTTAAGGCAAAAATTTTGACTATATGGTTGGTCAATCTGTAACAGTATGGTTCAAGTGATCTTTGGAAAATATCAACCTCCACAGATTTTTAGGACTACTTTATACAGTGTAACTTCTAATATAGTGACAACTGTAATACCAAAAATAATTTGATATTTTAACTTAAGATTAGTTAGCATTATCTTTTCAGCCACCATATTTTAGTTTTTAGGGATTTACACACAAAAAATTATATACACTCATTTGTAAGGAAAAATATACCTATTCAAACGAAGAAAATTAAAATTTTCTTTTGCCTTATTAAAGGATTTTTGAGAAAGCCCATTTTCATATACAGATGGGACATCATCATCACTGTAGGCCAAGTCACTTTCTAGCAGAGGACAAGAAATATCTACAAAACAAAAAATATTGTACATTAGTAACTTCTGGATTGCAAAAAGCAAATGTTCATGTAATGCATTAGTTGGCAAATCAATGTCCATGAAATGTACAATAAGAATTTTTAAGAATCAAAAACGTGTGTAGACAAGAGTAACAAGTAAATATAAAATGCACTTTAAATTTAAACATCTAACTTAGGGCAATCTGTGAAGTAAATTTCCTTCAAACATCCAGGCAAAGCAGGACTAAATCCCTTTCAAGAGGCTCTTTTCTTTAAAAAAAAAATTTCTGAGATGTATAAAACATTTAGTTTTACTGATTATGAAAACTAACTTTAAATGGCCGATCAAGTTTCATACCTGAGTCTAATGCTTTATTTGTTCTTATTTCTGCATGTGGAAATACTCTCTGAAGAGCTTCTAAGATCTTGTGAACTGTACTCTGCAGGAGTGGTTTCACAACAGTGGACAATGCCTGCCCAGGTGATGTCACAGCTCTTTGGGCAGCTGGTATCATCTTTTGCATAGCTACCTCAAAATCCTTAGCTGAGATGTTAATTGAAGAGAGATCCAACTGTAGTTTCTCACTAGTGGTATAAATTTGTGGGTAGCGTCGACGTAAAGCACATAAAGCAGCTTCAGAGCATATTGACTTAATATCTGCACCACAGTATCCTATCCAAGGCAACCAAAAAAATTTTAAGAAGTAAATCATCACCCTATAAGCATGACTATGTTTAAAAGAAAATTAAAACTCAACATAGCAATATAGTAAAATGTGCAGAAGTAATAAGGCTAAAATCTCTCATCTACCCAATAACCATCAACAAATCAATCAACTTTTGCAAGTGAAATGTACAAACACTAAGTATACTATAGCAGTCAAAAACAAGAGTTTTATTTATTTATTTATTTAAATTTTAATGCTTTTTTATTTATTTCTGAGAGAGAAAGAGAGAGGGAGAGGGAGGGAGGGAGGGAGACAGCATGAGCAGGGGAGGGTCAGAAAGAGAGGGAGACACAGAATCTGAAACAGGCTCCAGGCTCTAGATGTTGGCACAGAGCCCAACGCGGGGCTCGAACCCACAAACCGTGAGATCATGATCTGAGCTGAAGTCGGAAGCTTAACCGACTGAGCCCCCAAAACAAGTTTTAAAATGAGACAGACGAGGTTCAAATTCCAGGTTTTCACTTATTGCACGTATGATCTTTGGAGAATCATTTATGCTTTCAGCCATCTCTACATCTGTAAATTGGGGATAATGCTACCTACAGGACTGATGTGAGAATTTCTCGAAATAACATATGTAGAATGCTTAGCAGAATGAGTAGAAAATGTAAACAGCAAAAGACAACTATTATTATTACTGTCTAACTTTGCTCTCAAACTCCCCAATAGCCAATTCATCAAATATCTCTGTTTAATATCCAGGATTTTTAAAGCAAACATGCTACAAACTAGAGATCAAAAACAAACATAACCTGTATTTCTTTTTTTATTATTATTATTTCTTTATTTATTTCTGAGAGAGAGAGAGAGAGACAGCATGAGCAGGGGAGGGTCAGAGAGAGAGGGAGACACAGACTCTGAAACAGGCTCCAGGCTCTGAGCTAGCTGTCAGCACAGAGCCCGACATGGGGCTTGAACCCACGAACCATGAGATCATGACCTGAGCCGAAGTCAGCCGCTCAACTGATTGAGCCACCCAGCCCCCCCTGTATTTCTTTAAACATAATCTTGCAAGACTACAACTTGTTTAATTTCTGAAATGCATGCATTTTATTTTTTAATGCCTAAAGCAATGTTTACCAACACAGCTTTCTGCTAGTTCTTCTAGAAATATGTCCAGTGGCTTAGGATTCCAATCTCTCGTATGAATCTTAAGAATTTCTTTTCGAGCCTATAAATAAGAACAATTGTAATTTTTTTATAATAAGGTGCTATTCAGATTTGAATAATTTCAATTTAAAATAGTTTATCTAAAATTCATAAAGAAATCAATACCTACTATAATAAAAACAGTAAAAGTGAAAAGAAAAAGATATAAGCATTTAAGGAATTTATGTTAAAGAAGATTTGCATTTCTAATGTTTAAGTTCTAGGAATCATAAATGTGAATGAGAAAAATTAATAATGACAGAACTACTGTTCATTCTGGTCCATATTGAGAATTGTTTAAGAGTACTGACAGCACTACTCATACTTTCCTCCTTGGTTCTCAAAAGATTAAGTGGCTTTAGGAGAATAAGGTAGGATTGTATGGTAATATACATGAAAAAGTAAAGGCTAATAAACTGCTAAGGATTGACTGCTCATTAATAGGCTACATGTTCTGAAGCAAAATAAAGTTGTATGGCAACATCCAAAGTCTATGCTCAAATTGAGAAACATGTAGAAGTATCTTTAGGGAGGCATTATTTTAATTAGAAAAAAAAAAGAGTAAAAAATTCCAAATTCTTTAAATAAAATAACACCTCCCTAAGAATACATACCTTACCTCTTTGGATGTTAATCACATTTGACTTTGCTTCAGAACATACAAAACTCAAACTTCAAATTTTCACTGTGCCAAGATTTGTCTATGATAAGAGCAACACAGTCTGTGAAATTATGAATAATAAATTCCTACATCTTTGTCAGGTAGGCTGAAAAGGAATTCTCTGTCAAAGCGACCAGGCCTTCGCAAAGCAGGATCAATAGAATCCAGTCTGTTGGTGGCACCAATGACTACAATTTCTCCTCTGCTGTCCAATCCATCCATAAGAGCTAGCAAGGTGGAAACAATGGAACTAAATGTAAAAATAAATGACAATAGATTAAACATATGATGCTGAATACATTATTCCTTCTTTTGCTAAGATTTAATATTAAACATGTGAACAAATTTTCTCAGAGCATGCCATTACTTCCCACAAATTAAAAACCTTGCAAAATAACACACTAAATGGCACATAGAGGTTAAAACCAATGAAAAACATAAGTGGTTTTCAGAATGCCACAAATAGATCCCAGAAGACATTTCATAAAGCATAACTTCAACATAGGAACTTAAGAGTTCCCAGAACAGGATACACCAAAAAACAAAAAATACTATCAAAGAACACCCAAATAAAGTATACATAAAGCATAAAAAAAGAGAACTTAAATTACGTTTTACTTATGGAGAGGGAACAGTAAAAAAAACCACCACAGCTTCACCACCCCCTTTCAACAATTATCAATGTCCTTTTGGGGCACCTGGGTGGCTCAGTTGGTTAAGCTTCCAACTTTGGCTCAGGTCATGACCTTACAGCTGGTGGGTCTGAGCCCCGCATCAGGCTCTGTGCTGACAGCTCAGAGTCTGGAGCCTGCTTCGGATTCTATGTCTCCCTCTCTCTCTCTCTGCTCCTCCCCCACTCACACTTTTTCTCTCTCAAAAATAAATAAAAATTTAAAAAAATTATCAGTATCCTTTTTTATGACTTCACCCAATAGTGTTTTTCTCCATCCAATAGTTTTTTTTTTAAGAAATAAAACCCCCAAAACTTCAGACTGCTTAATCCATAAATATTTCATATTAAATATTTTATGTAGTTATAAGATAAGGACTTTTAAAAACTCCCACAGTATCAGGACACCATTGGAAATGACAATGATTCCTTAATATCACCTAATATTGAATTTTCCTAATTGTTTCAAAACATCTTTTTTACATTTGATGTTTTTAAGCAAAGATCCACACACCTTTGTCACATGTCCCTCAATTCCTTAACAGTCCCCATGGAACCTTCCTTTCTTTTTATTCCTTCATGCTTTTTGTTAAAGAAACTGGATCATTTGCCTTGTAAAATTTCCTTCCCATGTTCTGGATTAGGCTACTTGCTTCCTGATAGGGTCATTTAACTTGTCCTGTATCTTTCATATTTCCTATAAACTGGAAGTTAGATCTAGAAGCTTAATAGATACAGGTTAAACTACTTAGGATAGCAAATATCATAGGAAAATTCCACATACTTCCTATTGTATAATCAGGAGGCACAAACTACCAGTTTCTCATTTAACATCAGGGAACTGGGTTTAGGTGAGGTGTTATCAGCTTACTACATTCATCTTCAACTTTACTATTAATCTTTTTACTTTAGTATTTTTGTAGCCACTTACAATTATTGCTTAGATCAGGGTTTCGCAATCTTGGCACAAATGACGTTTCGGCCAGGTAATTCATTGTTCAGAGCTGTCCTTGCCACTGTAGAATGTTTAACATCATCTGTGGTCTTCACCCACTAGATGCTAGTAGTTCATCACTCATCTCCTCCAATTTATGACAATCAAAAATGTCTCCAGACATTTGTCCCATGGGGGGCAAAATCTACTCCCAGTTGAAAACCATATGGCTAGATCCACTATGTCATAAGGGGTTGCAAAATGGTGATTTTCTATTTCACTAATTTGCTCTCCATTTACTAACTATGATTTCCCTATAAAGAACAATGTTACTTCATCAATTAAATCACTCTCAATCATGGCCTGAATCATAGTTACAGGACAGGAAAAAGAAATGCTTGATTCTTTTATCAATTTTCAGAGTAATGAGTCACTATCTTAGCATCCTTTGGAATGACCAATTATTTTTTTTTAAAAGATCATTAAAAACTGACAGTTTTTATGTATTTCATGCATTTCATTCTATTGTAGTCATTATTATTTTTGATGCATCTAATTATCCCATCTTGGTCAATGGAAACTCCTTCAAAACTGACTATGTCATTCTGTTATGACCCTAGTAGTTTCAATTGCTTCTCTCCTTCCAGGCATTACAAGATATTCCAGGCTAGTCTCGCTTATTTCCGAACTCATTTCTATTATCCACCAGCTCTCCTCTGACTGCTAGTATTTAGAGACCACATTTTGGACGCCAGGGTGTGCACTGCTACTGGACTGTAATAATGGCCTTTTAAAGTGTCCAGAGCTAGAAACTATGTTTTCTTAAATAAAAAAAAAAAAAAACTTACGAGGGGCACCTGGGTGGCTCAGTCGGTTATTATCTGACTTCGGCACACGTCATGATCTCATGGTTTGTGGGTTTGAGCCCTGCGTCGGGCTCTGCGCTAACAGCTAGCTCAGAGCCTGGAGCCTGTTTCAGATTCTGTCTCTCCTTCTCTCTCTGCCTCTCCCCCCCCCCACTCTGTTTCTCTTGGTCTCTCAAAAATAAATAAATGTAAAAAAAATTTTTTTTTAAAATTCATCATGAAAGGCACCTGGGTGGCTCAGTCAGTTAAGTGCCTGACTTTGGCTCAGATCATGATCTCATGGTTCATAAGTTCAAGCTGACAGTGTGGAGCCTGCCTGGGATTCTCTCTCTCCTCCCTTCTCATTCTCTCTCAAAATAAATAAACTTAAAATAAAAAAAATTCATCATGAGTTCATACTGATACTCCCAATTCAAAGTAAAGATTTTAGGGTTTTAATTTATTTTATATTTATATCCTTTCTCTCTCAAGCTAAAAATCATACTTTCTATGGTATTCACATACTTACTTGTATTATCTTTCATTATTACTAACAGATAAAAATTAGTTTAATTATGTTCAATGTGCTACCTTTTAAAAATGCTTAATTTAACAAAAATGTTTATGCTGAGATATTTTAAGTCTTTGGTTAAAAACAAAACAAAACTGGGGCGCCTAGGTGGCTCAGGTGGTTGAGCGTCTGACTTCGGCTCAGGTCATGATCTCATGGCTCATGGGTTCAAGTCCCGCGTAGGGCTCTGTGCTGACAGCTCAGAGCCTGGAGCCTGCTTTTGGATTCTGTGTCTCCCCTTCTCTTTGCCCCTCCCATGCTCATGTTCTGTCTCACTGTTCTCAATAATAAATAAATGTTAAAAAAATTAAAAAAAAAACTTGCACACTAAGTTTCTCATATCTAGATATTTGAATGTAGCTGCCCAGTTTCCCAACACCATTTACTTCTGAGACTGTCTATATTCTTGTATACAATATCCCCATTGCATATTCCTGCTTCTGTCAAGAGACTGACCATCTAAGTATGGGTTTATTTATGGGCTCTCTATCCTATTCTATGATCTATTTTTGTGCCAGTGCCATTCTGTTCTGATTACGATAGCTTTGCAACATATCTTGAAATCTGGGATTGTGATACCTCCAGTTTTGCTCTTCCTCAGGATTGCTTTGGCAATCTTTGAAACTGGACCATTTTCTTACACAATTCACAAAAACAAACTCAAAATGGATTTTAAAGACCTACATGTGAGACCAGAAATCATAAAACTCCTTAAAGAAAACATAGGGAAATAGTCTCTTGGACACTGGCCTTAGCAACAGTTTTTTAGATGTTATCTTCTTAGACAAAGGAAACAAAGGCAAAATTAAAACTACTGGGACTGTACCAAAATAAAAAGCTTTTACAAAGCAAAGGAAGCTATCAACAAAACAAAAAGGCAACTTACTGATGGGAGACGACATCTACAAATGATGTATCCAATAAGGCATTAATATCCAAAATATATAAAGAACTTAGACAACACCCAAAAAAAAAAAAAAAAATCCCCAAATAATCTGATTAAAAAATGGGCAGAGCACATTCTTTGAAAGAACATTTTTCCAAAGAAGACATACAGATAGCCGACAGACATGTGAAAAGATGCTCAACTAGTCATCAGGGAAATGAAAATCAAAACCAAAATAAGATATCATCTTATACCTATCAGAATGGCTAATATCAAAGGACAAGAAATAACAAGCGTTGGCAAAGATGTGGAGGAAAAAAAAACCCTCATGCACTGTTCCTGGGAATGTAAATTGGTACAGCCACTATGGAAAATAGGATAGTGGTTCCTCAGTAAGTTAAAAATAAAAATGCCATATAATCCAATAATTCCACTACTGTTTATTTACCCCCCCAAAACAAAAACACTAATTCGAAAAGATACATGTACTTCTGTTTACTGCAGCATTATTTACAATAGCCAAGATATGAAAGCAACCTAACTGTCCATCAGTAGATGACAGATGGGTAAAGATGATGTGCTATATATAAAAACAATGAAATATTAGCCCTAAAAAAGAATGGGATCTTGCCATTTGTGGCAACATAGATTAACACAGAAGATGTTATGCTAAATGAAATAAGTCATACAGAGACAAATAACAAAATGATTTCAGATATACGTGGAATCTAAAAAGGAAACAAATAAAAACCACAGAAACAGAACCACAAATATAGAGAACAAACTGGTAATTGCCAGAGGAAAAGCAGTTGGGTGTGGGCAGATTGGGTGAAGGTTAAGAGGTACAGACTTACAGTTATAAAGTAAGTTATGAGGATGAAAGGTATAGCATTGGAATATGGTCAACATTGTAATAATGCCGTATGGTGACAGATGGTAACTACACTTACCCTGTATGAGCACAGCTTAATGCATAGAACTGCTGAATCATTATGTTTTTACACTTTACACTAGTAACACTGTTATGTCAACTATCCTTCAATAAAATATAGGTTTGTACTTGAGAAGGCATGTGCTTCCCAAATTACCCTATAATTTTTGTTGCTAAAATTTCTCTAATTCCTTTTAGAACTATTCCAAAACACAGTACTCAATTTTTGGTTACAAAGTAATGGTAGTATTGTTAAATATGTTTATTCCTACCAACACAATAAATATAGTATGAATGATGATGAAATTTGTCATATATAGTCTGTATGATTACTGTAAGTT